TTTCAGTACCAAATGTCACATGAATCCATACAATAGTTGTTGGTATTTTTCAGTCTGGACAAAGGTGGCGGACAGATTATTAGATAAAACAACTGCCAGACCCTGCTGTTTGTACAGCAACACCACGGGTACGACTAACAACTGTAAAGCATGTTTGTTATAAACAAGCAACCAATGCATCTGACTCTGCTGTCATGAAATCCTCCCACCACCACTGATACAAATCTATTCGAGGAAATGTTATGAAGAAGTATGTAATCCAGTTGGCAGAAGATGGATTTACTTCATTTCTGGTGACATCAAACGATTGCAAAACTTCTTATCAGATGAGCGACCTTGTTGAGAGGAATTCTACAAAGTCTACAGCAAATACAAACCGCGCATGCCTCTTGAACACACATGTGTAAAGTAAACTCTGTTCAAAGTCTCGCTTTAAATCTTAAAATCCCCAGACAACACTTTGAGATTTACAGATCAACACTGCACATTCCCTCATGATTTCAGTGTTGACACTGTTCACTCTGTATGCAACGTCTGTCACCCATGACTGAACACCACAGTTTGATCCTCACAGACTTGAAAACATGTGATCTCATCTCTCCCAGCGTGTCTTTTCCCTCCATATCAGCTGTTGTCATCTTCAGTGCACCTTCATGGGAACTGGTTGTGCCTGTGCAACAGCATGAAGGTGAGGAAAGTGTGTGTAAGTGTGAAATGCTGCTACGTTTTGACTGTATTGACTACTTTGAGGAGATCTGATAAAAGATAAATAAGGTAATCAAAGTGCTGCGGGGAACAAGTTGTAACTGCTCTGTTTCATTTAAGAGGTAAGCATGTCCGTCATCTTTAAATAGAGGAAACATGCTTAATCCAGAAGAGTGGAAAAACACACTGAAGATGGACACTGGGGCCCCTACTTCATTAGATTAAGTGATCCCTTAAGACCGTGAAAAGCCGACTGGTACAAACACTGGGTGACTGATGACGGTAAGAATATGGCGGTTGACAATTACACAGCAGAAGCACTCTCTTCAAAGTAAATACCAGATAAGGTCACCGTCATTAAAACACACTTAGCTGCAGTGAGACAATGCTGCATGATGCACGACATGACACGCTGAAGGGGACAACAAAGAACAGAGCGAGAGGACAGAAGTTAGAATTCGAAAAGCGGGCTTGTTATCGGATGATGTCCAGCTTTAATCTCCAGATCAGCTGAGAGAATGACCCTGGAGATCCTGAAGGAACAGTGTTCTACTCAAGCTCTGTAAATAGTTGTCACAGTGCCTTTGAGCAAGACTTAATAGTAGAAGACTATACGTTCTGTGGAAGTGAGATTACGGTTTGAAAGTTTGAAATTTAAAAGTGTTGAGTGATGCACAGCATAGGTATAAACCTTTTTTAATTTCAAATTTTGTGCTCCTTAAATCAGCAACTCCCAAAGAGTGCTTCAGGACCTCTGGGTAGTCCCGGCTCACTGAGTTGACGAAATATTTCCAGGAATGAAAGAAAATCATGATTAGACGTAGCATGTTTTAGCCCCAATTGTTACAAAATGCTGCTCCTACATGCCGATATTAAATTACTGTAAAAACAATATTGTGGTCGTTAGGTGGTTCTGTTCTTTAGAGTTATCATGAGGCGTGTGTTTGGACCATAAACCGTGGTTTGGATTGACCCAACAGTTCAGATGCTTTAGCCGCCCTTGGGGATAGTGGAGTGTTGCGAGTATTTGGCATCATTATTGTCACCATGACCCAACCCCAGATAAGCAGAGAACAATGGATGCATGGATGGATATTTTAGGGGTCAGGGCATAAAATGTTTGGGAACCTCTGCTTTACATGCTCATTTCCATTAGCACAGTGTATGTATGGACAGGGCGGCATGGTGGTGCTGAGGTTAATTGGTGATTCTAAATTGTCTGTAGGTGTGAATGTGAGTGTGCTTGGTTGTCTGTCTCTAAGTGTAGCCCTGTGATAGACTGGT